CCACTCTCAACCTTCCTCCTGCTCCCCCTTCCCTCCACCCTCCCTTCTCCTTCCCCTGTCCCCCGTCTTGCTCCCCCCAGCACATATTTGCCAATAAACCAGCAACTCGTGCCGCTGCCGGGCCGGCCGAGGTGGAGTCGAGGCGAGCCGAGCCGAGCTTTAGAAATTGCCCTGAAAGGGGAGCAAGGCCTTCCACGGCTACTCCCAAAATTTCAATATTTTATGCGTTTTTGCTCTGCAGCGCTACAGCGCTGCTACAGTGAGCAACCCTGGCTGGAACGCACCAGGCGGGCCGGTGCGATTATGCGTTTTTGCACTTCTCGTGCCGCAGCAAGATTGCAAGGATTCACAGTAGCTAACGCTGTGACATACTGGCCGTCGTAGTTCAGGAAGTTAACTGTGCAACTATGTGGTATGTCAGTTGTAGATGTCGGCTTCAGTGACTCGGCGAATGGAAAGGTGCTGGTGCGCAAAAAAGGCCACACTAGAAGAGTTAAATTTGAAATCTTTTAGTCGCACATAAGTAAGGAACACTCCCTTAAAATTATAGCCTTCAGCTTACTTTGTTCCCGAATTGGCAGTTTTCCCACCAAAATTTTCACGTGTCCGTACGTGGTTACCGGGCGGTTTTAAGGAGCTGAATTTAAAATCTTTTGGTCATGCATGAGTAGGGAACATTATCCTAAAGTTTCAGCCTTCTAGCTTTTTTCGTTCCCGAGTTAGTGATTTTCGAGTCAAAATTTCCATGTGCTTGTACGTGGGCCCTAGCTGCTCCTAAACACCTGATTTTGTTCGTACATGAGTGGGGAACATCCTCTTAAAGTTTCAGCTTTCTAGTTCCTCTCGCTCCCGGATTAGTAACTTTCGAGCCAAAATTTCCACGTGCCCCGGGCGGTTCTGAGCACCTGATTTTGCTCGTAGATGAGTGGGGAACATTCCCTTAAAGTTTCAGCTTCCTAGCTTTTCCCGTCCTCGGGTTAGTGGTTTTCGCGCCAAATTCCCACGTGCCCGTACGTGAGCCCCGGATGCCTCTAAACACCTGATTTTGCTCGTACATAAGTAGGGAACGTTCCCCTAAAGTTTCAGCTTTCTAGCTTTTCCCGTTCCCGAGTTAGTTATTTTTGCGCCAAAAACTCCACGTGCCCGCACGTGAGCCCCGGGCAACCCTGGGGGGCAACCGAATTTGAAAGCTTTTAGTCGCGCATGGGCGGGGGATATTCCCCCAAAATTTCAACTTTCTAGCTTTTTTCATTCGCGAGTTATGAATTTTCCCGCCATAA